ACAATAAAGATACATGCCAGGTGCTCAGCAAGTAGTAAGCAAAATTCTAACTTGTTCCAGAATCCAGCATGGGAAACCCCACTGCAAGCTGTATTTAATGCAGAACAAAATGTATTTATTTAGCCATCAAAATGTCAACATTCGGTGTGATAAAAGACATGGTTGGTTTTACATGACTGCTAAATAAAGAGTGGTGTAGATTTTTTTTCTTATTCACCATAATTATATAAAATAACACAGTGTCTAAAATATTGCATACAGCAAGTATTCATACAGCAATGTCCTGCAGATGACCCATCAAATAAATATACTGTTATAAATAAAATACCCTTTGCAATAGAAATAACTATAACCATTGCAGCCCATGAGACTGCTGTAAGGCTCAGGAGCACATAGGGTCAATAATATCCATCCAGATGTGTAGTGAGTTACCCAGACATCTACAACATTTGGGAATTATTTTATGATAAAAATGAGCATATGTATAGTTCAAACAGATTTTTCAGACTGCTAGATTGCTGACTAGATGAAAGCAATTAGAATTCTGCAGGTTTAGTTATTTTTAAAAGTTGTACAGGTTTTAGTGGTGGGATTTCTTTAGGACAGAGATACTGTTCTTATCCTGAATTTTATAACCTTGTCATTAATATTTAATGATACTACTATTGCCAAAACATATAAAACAAACAAAAAAAATAAATTTTATTGGCATGATATTGAAGCACTGTCACTCCCTATAGTCTACAAGTGGTTCTCGGGAAAAAAATTAAAGTGTTACTAAACCCAGGACCCTGCATTCACTATAGCTGGTCTCCTACAGTACACAGAACACCAAAATGCAATTATTTTAGTAAATATAAACATTTAAATACCTTTTCTCATCATCAGTTAGAGCAGTCTTGTGACTTCTATCAGTGTTCAGCAGAGCACTGGTTAAAGCATGTAGGTGGAGTTTTCTCTAGGAGGATGTAGAACCCCTGACCTCTGTCTGGGCAGTGCCGATTGGCCCTGTACTGATTACATGAACTCTTCCAAGAAAAAAAAAACCTCTCTATCAATACATACCAAACTGAGTATGTGCAGAGTACCTCCACATGATATGTCTAATTAGGAGATAAGCGGGAGACACTGGAAGAAAGGGAGGATCAGAGAAGAGAGAATCAAACATCCTTTTTTACACAATGCAGAGGATTAACCTCTTAGGTTCCACAGTGAGTATAACAAGCATGCTTTACTGCATATACAGACTGATTTTACTGTTGTGGGTTTAGTAACACTTTAATATAGCTATCATATTGACCAAACACCATTAAACAATAATTCACGTGGTTTAAACTTGTAGTAAAAAATGTATGGTTGCTGAGCTATAGTTTACACAGAACAATCAAAGGCACCTAATTACTTGTATGCTGCATCTTAATATTGGGCAAGTTTAACAAAACATTCCAACAAATTCCAGGGGCTCAGTTATCCAGGCAAGAATTATTATTTATTTATTTCAGGTACTTATATAGCGCCGTCAATTTACGCAGCGCTTTACATATATATTGTACATTCACATCAGTACCTAACCCTCAAGGGGCGTACAATCTAAGGTCCCTAACTCACATTCGTATACAAGGGCCAATTTAGACAGGATGCAATTAACCTACCAGCATGTCTTTGGAGTATGGAAGGAAAACCGGAGTACCCGGAGGAAACCCATGTAGGCACAGGGAGAACATGCAAACTCCAGGCAGGAGGTGCCATGGCTGTGATTCGAACCAACGACCCTAGTACTGCCAGGCGGAAGTGCTAACCATTTAGGCACTGTGCTGCCCGTGAAGAATATCTCTTCACGATGATAGTTTTGTATATGTATCTTGAACTGGGCATAGATGGATTGAAATTTGGTAGGTTCAGCAGGGACAGACTAAATTGTGCTTGTGTGTGGCCCTCCCTGTTGATCAGCACCTACAGCCACCGATCATTGTATTCTTACAGCAGCAGGACCGTGTCTGTGAGGATTTCTCGTCCTCCAGTTGGCTCTGAGGAAGAGGCTGAGTCTTTGAAACTCGTTAACCAGTTGCAAGTCCAGGGATCCATTGTTTTGGACTTAGATGCTGTATGGATTGAACACCGCTGTTTATTGTGATGTGCCTTTGTTTTATATGTCCATTGTGAGTATGATACCTACTTTTTATCCTTTTAATAAATACTTTTTACGATAATGCACTAGGCCGGTACGCCCTCTTTTTGTTTTGTTTTGTATCCAGGGATTCCTCCATCCACCATGGTTGTATGGATAGAGAAATCTGTTTCTTTATTGTTGTTTTTTGCTGGCTGAATGAAAAAATTGGAACCATCTATGCCCAGCTTCCTGATGATGCGATTCCACAAGATGCATTGAAGCTTGGCCGTTGTCCTCACTTCTTCTTTCCATCCATGTCGTTTTCGGCAAGTGAGTTCTGCTCTGTGGAACACACGCCGACTCAAGGATTGTGAGCCATGATGCATAGTATTTGTTCCTATCCTACACTTTATGCTAGTGCCGGTCAGGCACAATTGAAAGTGAGTGCAATCTGTTTTATTGGTTTTTCCTTTTTAATCAATAAATATACTACACCATAGAAGTCTCTTCTCTCTGAGTGTATGTGTTTCATTTCCCATCTATGAGAGATTATTCATGAGAGGATCGTGATATTACCTGCTCCATTTTCTTCTTCTTGCTAATGGCTGCAACTGAGAGGTGTGATAGGCTCACTGATAATAATGATCTGATTTTGTGAACACGGTGCATGGGTTCTTTATGGTGTCATTATATGGACACTTTATGATTATGGACATGTGTATGACCATTTGAATTGGATAATATGCATTGGTCACTTTGCAAAAATGTTTTTGGAATCATATTTTAATTAGTAGATCATTGGTATCACCTATTTTAGGAGTAGCACCTGTCTTTAATTGTTTTTTGGTTTCATATATAGTGTTTGTTTGCACTAAAGGGGCAGCTTCTCTTGGTTCTATTTTAGATATTTGGTTGATGCCTCTTTCACACAAGAAATATTTTTAGATAGTTGTATTCTGTTTGCAGCAGATTGCAGATAAATGTAGACACTGTATTCAGTTTCATGGCATGACATGCTAGGTAAACAAAGAGCTAAGCACCCCAGAATTATACTCATCAAATAACTGGTCCAGAGATGTTTTGATCACTCAAGAAAACATTTGCGACAACTCCTCTCATATTTAATAGAAAGTTTCTGTCCTGGGCTACCCCACAGTAACATATTTCCTGTCACTATAACTTTTTTTATATACCTTTATTTTACATATTTCACCTATTTTTAATACTCTTTGTTTAATTTTTTTTGTAAAGCTATCCCAGCCCAAGTCAAGCAATCATGGACAGGGAAGTTCATGCAAAATATCGGAAGCTAGGAAGGGTGCTACAAGGGAGACCCAACTGGATTTTGTGGGGCTTCCACATTTGGTGGGAGACTCATTTCAACTACCTTTATGTGCTCATTGGCCTTTTTCTTTGAGTCTTTTCTAGGGACAAGAGTGAAAAGTCAGGAAGCAGAAAAGGAAAAGTATACAATCCTATAGCCATGGACCGTCTGCCTCGTTTGTGGACTGGGTGTTCCACATTACCATGTTTCCATCTGCCAACACTATTTTTATTGTGTGTTTTTTTTTTAATTAAGCATTATTTACCAATTCACATTTTGATGTTTTTTTTTTCATCCAGTTCACACAACATGCATTTCAGTAGCATTTTTTCCTGCATCCAAAACACACAGAAAGTAGGTTATATGGTTGTCAGTGTCATAGTGCACACCAGTGCTTGTAGTTCCAGTGCATTCCAGATGCAGAAAAAAAGTAGAACATGCTGCATTTTTTCTACTGTATTGGAAGGCGGCAAAACGCATAAAAAATGCACTGGAATGCGCCAAAACGCACTGGAAGGCACATGTCCCTATCTAAATTGAAGAAAAATAGAGGGGAAAAAATGAACTGGAATGCATAAAAAACGCACCTGAACGCATAAAAAACACACCAGAACGAGTCAAAAACGTGCATGCAAAAACGCATCTGGACTGCATTTCTATAGTGTGAACCGTCCCTTAAGGCTGTTCCTTCCCTGGACAAGCAAACATGGGCAGGGATAACAAGGCTGTAAATTAAATAGGGACCAATATATGACAATGTAGTGCCATGTCCTGCTGAATGTGTCATGTCAGAGGTGGCCTTCAATGAAGTGGGAAGATTTATGACTGACTTTTATTAAAATAAATTAGACCTGAATTACAGAGGACTAACAAACACCCACTGCAGATGTTACTGTTAAATAAATACATTTAGTTTCATCTGTTTAACTACAAAACCAAAACTTTACTACTCATTCTTGCTATCTCTGCTGAAAATGACAACAATTCTGCTTCCCTGCATGTCTTTTTCTTCCCTTCTTTGACTTTAGAAAAAAATATACCTTCCTAAATCAAAAAAATGTCTGAAGATCTAAATTTATACAGAATGAAAACTGTATGTACCTTCTGCCTCAACAGTGGCCTTGTTCTCACTGTCATTTGTTTCTGCATTTAGGACTGTACTTGTTTCGAAATTGTGGTGTCAGTGTTTTCAATTTTTCCAAGACCCGAGGTGCAGGAAACTGTCTAGTATTTAAAAGCACAACCTGTAAGGAGTGATGGACTTTGTTGTAGAATAGCTCCCAAGTTGCTAGCCCTTGGACACACCAAGGGCATATTTACTGTATAAAGTAGTGAATGTGACTTTCACCAAACATTTACTGGTGGTGAAAATATCAACACATGATATTTACCTGCAGTGTTTTTTGGGTGAATGTCTGATTAACTGCTTTATAAATATGTACCTAAAACTGGCATTTTGGGGGGAACTTAAAGAAAAAGGTAACAAAAAAAAGCTTTTATTGTAGAAAACAAACATGCTTTGTTTGTATCTGAAAAGTTTTGATTATACTCAGGGGCGGACTGACCATTTGGAAACTCAGGCACTGCCCGAGGGCCCGGGGTCAGTAGGGGGCCCCATGAGATGCCCCTGGTACCTTTTTCATAGGCTTTTTTGAGTTTGGGCAAGGACACAGGGGCCCATGATCCCCTATTGCCCAGGGGCCCCATGAGTTGTCAGTCTGCCCCTGATTATACTACATGGATATGTTAAAATACTACCTTGCTGTTGAGCAAAAGTTTCTGAAATGTCCACTTTTATTTTCCGCAAAAAATAACTGTTACTATGTAAAAATCAATCCACTCAGAAAGCCGCCCTGCTACTAACCTATTCTACCTGGTCAGGTACTGTCTCATTGCAGGACAATATTTACCAAGCCAAGTCTAAGGGCTATAACTCTGAAATTTTGAGAAAAAAAAAAAAAAAGGTATATGGAGATACAGCAAAATTATTTATTTATTTATTTTTGCAAAGGATGCAGTGAGGTGCTGCGAACAAGAAGCAGCTTTTGAACGGACTGTCAGCAACAACTGCCTAATGTACTCTATTCACCCCAGGCCAAGAAATTTAATAAACAAGGAAAGGAAGAACACCAATTCAAATGAAAAAAAAAAAAAATAGCTAAGGTTTTCATCAGTGAAGATCTAGCAACAAATTTTTACAGACAGACATTGATCCTTAAAAGGATGAGTGTACAGATCTACGAATATATGCTTTCCACTTAAGAGAATGTACTCCAGCACTGCAATTCAAAGAAACCAAGCATAGTTTGTTAAGTCACTAAAATCTCATATAAGCTTTAACATGATAATATAACTTGGAAAGCCTTGTTTAAAAATTACTGGATTTCATGGCCGTAAAAGCTGGTGATACTGATATAAAAAGCCTTAGCTGGGTACTTTGTGTTATGTGGTGACAGCACTCTCCTTCTGCCTCCCACAATATCTTGCCTGTACATTACCCTTTCACAGGCTTTATTGTAATTACAATACTGTAGAAACAATTAAAAGCATGTAAATCCATCATCAATCAAATCATCTTAGAATGTAAATCCATTGTGAATTATGGTGTCCAGTGATGTACAGTATAGAACTGCCTGACAATGTTTTCCTGTCATCACAACACCTTGCAGCCTGATGATATTTCCCCACTTCATTCCCATCTTACATAGTTACATAGTTAGTCTGGCTGAAAAAAGTCCATCCAGTTCAACCATAAAAAAAAAAAAAAAGTTATAAGTTATAATCCTACACGCACAGTTGATCCAGAGGAAGGCAAATAAACCCAACAAAGCATGATCCAATTTGCTCCTGCAGGGAAATAAATTCCTTCCTGATCCCCCGAGAGGCAATCGGATATTCCCTGGATCAACTTTACCTATAAATCTTAGCAGGGACAGACTGACAACTCATGGGGCCCCTGGGCAATTGGGGATCAAGGGGCCCCTGTGTCCTTGCCCAAACTCAAAAAAGCCTATGAAAAAGGTACCAGGGGCATCTCATGGGGGCCCCCTACTGACCCCAGGCCCTCAGGCAGTGCCCGAGTTTCCAAATGGTCAGTCCGCCCCTGAATCTTAGTAACCAGCTACATTCTGTGCATCCAAGAAAGAATCCAGCCCTTTTTTAAAGCAATCCACTGAGTTGGCCAGAACCAACTCTTGAGGGAGTCTATTCCACATTTTCACAGCTCTTACTGTGAAGAAACCTTTCCATATTTGGAGATTAAATTTCTTTTCCTCCAGACGTAAACAGTGCCCCCTTGTCCTCTGTGATGACCTCAGGGTGAATAGCTCTACACCGAGTTCACTATATGAACCACTGATGTATTTATACATTTTGATCATATCCCCCCTTAATCTCCGCTTCTCAGGAAAGAATAAATTCAGTTCCTCTAATCTTTCCTCATAGCTGATCTCCTCCATGCCTCTTATCAGTTTGGTTGCCCTTCTCTGTACTTTCTCCAGTTCCCCAATGTTCTTTTTTGTGAATTGGTGCCCAAAACTGAACTGCATATTCCAGATGAGGTCTTACTAATGATTTGTACAGGGGTAAATTGATATCTCTCTCTCTCTGGAGTCTATACCTCTTTTAATACAAGAGAGGATTTTGCTTGCTTTAGAAACCACAGCTTGGCATTGCATGCCATTATTAAGCTTGTGAACTACCAGAACTCCCAGATCCTTCTCCACCATTAATTCCCCCAGTTGTACTCCCCCTAGTATCTCTAAATGGCAGATTCCCAGCCTGGCGATAATGTCAACACAGCATCAGGGATCCCCCGGGGCATGATTGCTATATTAGGTTATGAGCATGTTTGGTCAATTATGTCACCTAAGATTCCCTGCTTGTGTTTACATTACTGCAGTGCTGGGAAAATGTCATTTAACAGTGGAAGTGTAGTGAGGGAAAAATTGGTGGGAGTGGATTATCTTTATTGGTAACATTTTACATTTTTGTTTGCTTGATTTACATCATCAGACAATGTTTACATGTTTTTGCTATTAAATGATAAGTTCACCTTTTTACAAAAAATAATAAATGCACATTTTTTTTTGCAGGTAAAAAAATGTGCATTTATTATTTTTTGTTTCTGGAGCCTCTAATGCATTGCACCAGCATTCAGCAGATTGCTACTGCCATGCAGGCCTCCTGCAGTCCTGTCAGTATATCTGCTTGTCCGTACGGGATGTACATGCAAGCAGATATACTGAAGGGAAGACTCAATGAACTTCCACGGGGCTCCACAGCGCCATGGTAGTTCATTGAGAACTACAAGCCTATAGCCACAAAGGCTGTCAGGACTTGTAGTTCATTCATTCACAGAACACCATGAATGAATGATTTGACTCTGTGGGTTCATCCCTGCGGCTACATTTTTTTAAAATTGTGACAACTAGTGGGGAGGAGAAGATCCACAACTAGATGTCATGATGGGTAAGAGCAGGGAGGAGTGAGGGCTGGTCCATTCATGACATGTTACATGTTACACCCTGAATACGTAACATGTTACGAAAGGTTAACTTATCCTTTAAATTACTTTTCATGATGTGGGTGTGTTTATTTACTTTCTACTAATGTACCTTTATACTTATTCCCCTGAGACAGGGTGAATATCTGAAGGAAGGTGCTAGATACCCCCCAATACTGAAAGACTTTTTGCCGTGTCTTGTTTTGGAAGGGAGGGTGCATGCTTGCTCTCCCTTTCATTGCACCCTGACTAAGTGCTTGTGTCAGGCCCTGGTTGTAGTTTTAGGGAAAATCCCACACTGCATTTTTACTTGGTCAATGACAACTCCAAGCATTTCCACCACTGTTTTCACTTTACAGCAGTGCCCTGAGTTCAGATGAATGAACAGCAACAAGCAGTAAGTGCACAGATGAGCCTCAATTCACTCAATCCCAGCTATGCAGGCCATAGATGGGTCAAAATCGGCCCATTTTTCGGCCGATTTTCGGATCGTTAGTGGGTTAATAGGTCGGCCGTTTTTCAGTATTTTGGCAGACTTTTTATCAGTAAAGTTTGAAAAAAATCGGCCGATTTTGCCGATCGCCCGATTTTCGCAGCAATGATGGGCAAATCGGCCGATCTTTTTACTGATAAAAAATATGTGCATGAGCAGTGACCTGCAAGAGGAAGACAAAAAGAAGAAGAAAAAGAAAAAGAAGAGGATGAAGAAGAAGAAGAGGAAGAAGAAGAAGAGGAAGAGGAAGAAGAAGAGGAAGAAGAAGAAGAAGAGGATGAAGAAGAAGAGGAAGAGGAAGAAGAGGATGAAGAAGAAGAAGAAGAAGAGGATGAAGAAGAAGAAGAGGATGAAGAAGAGAGAAAGAAGAGGAAGAAGAAGAGGAAGAAGAGGATGAAGAAGATAGAGGAAGCAGAAGAAGATGAAGAAGAAGAGGATGAAGAAGAAGAAGAGGAAGAAGAAGATGAAGAAGAAGAAGAGGATGAAGAGGAAGAAGAAGAGGAAGAAGAAGAGGAAGAAGAAGATGAAGAAGAAGAAGAGGATGAAGAAGAAGAAGAATTCCAGTCCGGCAAAAAGTGTCCCTGCAGAGAGCTCCGCTATTTCTTTGACAGTTCTTTGACATTTATAGCGGTTGCAACAATGTATCTATTTGTTTCCGAATAAAAACATCTGTATTCAAAATGGATACAAATAGATACAATGTTGCAGCCACTATAAATGTCAAAGAACTGTCAAAGAAATAGCGGAGCTCTCTGCAGAGACACTTTTTGCCGGCTGTAGACGGGATGGAAATCGTCCGATTTTTTTTACCGTTCCTGGTAACGTCGGCCGATTGAGCGACCGATTTTTTGTTTTTTTAAAGAAAAATCGGCCGGTTTTCTCCCCATCAATGGCCTGCATTAATCCCAGGTACAACCCAAACACAAATGTAATTTATAGTACTGATGAACATTGCCCAGGCATATTCAACTGTTATCACCATTTAAAAAAGGCTTGTACAAGAACAATTGCAGACAGCAACAATTAGGAAATATTTTCTGTAAGCAAGCGCATGCCACCTGTTGTTTCTGTAGTGCATATTGACAGGGATAGGCTTTAAAGAGGCTGAAGGGCATCAGCCATATTGAGATGTAACAAAGAATGAAAAAAAAAAAAAACTCCCCACCTTCACGCTCTAATGTTCTAAGATACACAGCATTCTGCTACCTACATGGGATTCAATAAGGGGTAAAATTTACTTTAACCAACCTGCCAGTGCCCACAAGCTCTACACTAATCTATAAGGATTTTAAAATAAATGTAAAATTTGTATTATTACTAATTATTACAGACGTCCTTACAGGATGTCTCCAACTTACAAGCTGACCTCAATGCACTGTTTAATTGGACAACTGTGTAGCAAATGAGGTTTAATGTTGATAAATGTAAGGTTATGCACTTGGGGGTAAGAATATGCATGCATCATACATACTAGGGGGGTACAACTGGGGGAATCAATGGTGGGGAAGGATCTGAAGGTTCTGGTAGATCACAAGTTTAATAATGGCATGCAATGCCAAGCTGCAATTTCTAAAGCGAGTAAAATCCTCTCTTGTATTAAAAGAGGTATAGACTCCAGAGAGAGAGATATATCATTTTACCTCTGTACAAATCATTAGTTAGACCTCATCTGGAATATGAAGTTCAATTTTGGGCACCAATTCACAAAAAGAACATTGGGGAACTGGAGAAAGTACAGAGAAGGGCAACCAAACTGATAAGAGGCATGGAGAAGATCAGCTATGAGGAAAGATTAGAGGAACTGAATTTATTCTCTCTTGAGAAGAAGAGGAGATTAAGGGGGGATATGATCAACATGTATAAATACATCAGTGGTTCATATAGTGAACTCGGTGTAGAGTTATTCACCCTGAGGTCATCACAGAGAACAAGGGGGCATTCTTTACGTCTGGAGGAAAAGAAATGTAATCTCCAAACAAGGAAATGTTTCTTCACAGTAAGAGCTGTGAAAATGTGGAAAAAACGCCCTCAAGAGTTGGTTCTGGCCAGCTCAGTTGATTGCTTTAAAAAAAGCCTGGATTCTTTCTTGGATACACAGAATATAACTGGATACTAACATTTATAGGTAAAGTTAATCCAGAGAATATCCAATTGCCTCTTGGGGGATCAGGAAGGATTTTTTTTCCCTTGCAGGAGCAAATTGTATCATGCTTTGCTAGGTTATTTGCCTTCCTCTGGATCAACTGTGGGTATAGGATAATACCTTTTTTTTTATGGTTGAACTGGATGGACTTTTGTCTTTTTTCAGCCAGACTAACTATGTAACTATGTAATTATGTCATTCTTTAAGGATCCAGCACTGTGCTTCATTCTCATCAGCTGCCCAGATTTCAAAACAAGGAGCAAAACAATGTAACAGTTACACCTTTGCCCTTAATAGGACTAACACTAATTTTCAATTGACTGACTGTAAGTAACCACATCTTCCCATTGTGGAATGAATGTTGACAATTGTTGGAGTGTATTTTTCAGACAATGAACATGTCAGGTACATGTACATTACGAATAAAGTGAATGACCTGAGAAATGTGTTGGCAAATATATGATGAATATGTTGGGAAATCTTTAATAAATATGCCCCATAGTCTCTTTCTGATACTTGTAAATTTTGTTAAAACTGGGTATGTTTACATGAAATATTCACGTTATTTACTGCTTCAATACATTTTCTATCTTTTCCAAGTAAATACATTTTCATAGTACAACTCTTAATATTTTGTGAAGAGATTGCTTGTTAATTATTTCATATTATTGTGATCTTTAGGGAGACAGAAAAACTACAAATCTGTTTTTTACATATCCATATTTTTACTGCTATGGCTTCTAGCATATGATAGTTTTGAATTCTACAATATCTCTTTGAGTGATCTGTTTCTGAACCTTGACTTTTGCTCAAAGCTATTTATATTTTTAGCATTTTAGCGATTCGCAGGAATTTGATTGTACTAATTTCTCCAAATATTTTACCATAAAATATTTTTTTTCACATAAATATTTGTTTTTATAGTGCAATTGAATTTGTTCATGAAAAGCTATAGTGTATCATTTATATTCAAGAGGGACCTTCACTGATGTAAATCTAAATATTAAAAGGTCATTCATTTCTGCATCTTGATCTCATTTTTCCCTGTCTTTTTTAGCCTTTTATTAATGAAACAGCAGAGACATGACAAAATTGTTCCTATTTTTAGAGAAAGGACAAGATTTTCAAATCAAAATCTCTTCTACAGCATTTTTCAGTAGTACAAAACATGCATTGTAAGCAATAGCATCAGAGCAAAAAAAAAAAAAAAAAGGAAGCAATGTTAACTCAGAAGCTGCCTTTAAAGTCATGTATCTCAAGATGAGAGCTTTGTCTGATATAGAAATATTATGCTCTGTCATATGGTACATGCACTGGAGCACACCTTTCCAGCATGACAAAAGTACATCCAAACTATTTCTCTGTACCCATTCACATCTGTGTGTTGTGTTTTGCGCAGCGCTTTCAAAACTTCTGCAAGCAATGTCTTTTGTGCACTGTGTAAAAATCGCACAAAAAATGCATCTCTCATATAAATAAATGGAATCACATTAAAAACGCATTAAAAATACTGTGTGCTGCACTGAAATCTAGTACATTGCATTACAAATGCAGTATGCGTTTTTTTAGAAACATATATAGCGTTTGTTATGCGCTGCAGTGTGAAAATGCCCTTGTTGGAGTTCTGTAAATAAAATGTCTCTTTAAGCATAGCTGAAAGCTGTAATTTCTGAATATGTAAACACTGTAGGTACTGTGCAGTTGGGAGCTGTGAGCAGGGGCGGACTGACCATTCGGGTACTGCCCGAGGACACGGGATCAGTAGGGGGCCCCATGAAATGCCCCTGGTACCTTTTATAGGCTTTTTCGGGTGTGCTTTGAGTGTCAGCAAGGACACAGGGGCCCCATGATCCCCTATTGCCTGAGGGCCCCATAAGTTGTCAGTCCACCCCTGGCTGTGAGAGATATGCAGAGGATGCATGAGCAATGGCCATAGATTGCATGTGAATACAGTAGGTACTATGAACCAGTCCAGGACCAGCCACAAAGTCTGAGACTGAGGCCTGAGTCAGGCAGCTGAAAGAAGCATCTGTGTATTACACAGTATTGAAGGAGGAATGGTGAAAACCATAGGCACCCTTTCTGTTGTATTTGGAAGTGGTGTTGGAAACTCTTGTGAGGGCAACCATTTATTTTGTGGAACATTTTTTACTATTGTTTCAAATAAATGTGGGCCATCAACCCCTGAAACATAGTTCTTGTCTGGTGTGAACTCACTAGGAAGGCCCTACACCACAGTGAATTCCACAAACATCAATATATATATATATATATATATATATATATATATAAATCAGTTCAGTGAAGAAAGCAGGAGCCCTCCGTGGGACTTTGGGACTTGCAACAGAGGGACATTTTGGTAAGAGGTTCATTATGTTTCAGCAGGGCTCAGTTTGTCTTTCTTAATATATCAATATAATATAAAATATTATTTATGACTATGATTGTAAAAAGTGCCCAAATCTCATATCTTTAATAGCATTCTGTAATGTCCTGCAGAGCAGTACTAAAACAACAACAACAAAAAAAAAACCTAAAACAAAAAAAAAAAAGAACAGCATGGTAAACTAATTAGGCAATATTGCACAAAACAAGACTGTCAATCTAACACTTAGGGGCATATTTATGAAGCAGGGAATCTAACATTCACCAAAAATTTACTGCAGGTGAATCTTCTGAGTGCAAATGCCTTAATTGGCAGTGTTGGATTCATCCACAGTAAATGTTTGGTGCCACCTTTGTAAGCAGGGCCTAACTAGTGTACCTGAAAATCAGGAGGAATCAACATGCCTGGATAAATAAAAATTGTTTATATTGTAGAACTGGAATAATCACAGAAAAAAGGCAGTTTAAAGCTGTGTAGAAATACATATATATATACATTTATATATATATACAGTATATACTGTATATCGGGGGGGGGAGTTCACTACCGGTCCATTCATAACGTGTACATGTTACACCCGAATATGGAGTAACATGTAACATGTTGAGAAAGGTGAACATATCCTTTAAAGTTTAAGTCATCCTTTTTTTTTAAACTATCACCACGGATAAGTAGCACCCTCCCAATGGAACATACAATTTCATCTGAAGTTTAACCCTTTTCTGCCCAGCCTATAGTAAAATTACGGCCTGGTGGGAACTTTCGTCGATCTGGGTGGACGTCATATGACGTCTTCCCGGATCTCCCCCTCATGCGTGCCCACGGGGTCATGCTGTGGCGAGATCTGTCACTGTCTGTGTCCATCAAACACAGCCGATGACTGATCTGTGTACCAGCCCGATGTCAGTACCATGTGACCAATTACAGCAAATCACATGACAATTGTAAACAATGGATGGCTTCCTTTCATGCCATCTATTGTATACCATTGTGTTGCTAGCTGTAATTGGTCACAGTGATCACATGGTGGGCGAATCACAGCCCATCTGTGTCATGTGATTAGCTGTGGCCAGTCAGAGTTAATCACAACATTCAGTAAAATGCTTGCTTATAGCAATGAAATTCATTGCTATAAGCAACCATAATATGTAAAAAAAAATACTGATCACTTTCTCAGAGTAGTACAATACTATGTTACTATGTCACTATGGTAACATTATATTACTCTGGTCATAGTGTGTTATTACAAAACAAATCAATCAAAAAAAAAGAAAAAAACTTAATAAAAATTGACAAAAAATAATATATTTCTTTGGTACTGTCACCAGTCAGTGTCCCTGATCACTGCCACATCAGTTATATGATGACGCTGTACTGCATTGGTGACAGTATGCAAAAAAAAAAATTGTGAAAAAAAATACATTATGATTGCTTATAGCAGGGGTTAAAATTTCCAGTCCAGACCTACTAGCCGATCACAAAAACTTACTGGGGGGGGTTGGTTGAAGGGGGCTCACCACCCAGTTTGCCCCACCCCACCTTGCCTTGTCCGCCCCCCCAAAACCCCACCCCCTGGTCCACCCCAAACCCCACCCCTGGCTTGCCCCTAACCATGGCCCCCCTTAAAGCTTATGAAATTACATTTTTTTTAGAATAAATAGTCCAAAATATAAAACTGTACTCCATTATAGTGATATGACATGTATACAGTAATGTATATCCCAGCTCCCCTGTACTCCATTATAGTGATGTGACATGTATACAGTATGTATATCCAGCTCCCCTGTACTCCATTATAGTGATATGACATGTATACAGTAATGTATAATCCCAGCTCTCCCCTGTACTCCATTATAGTGATATGACATGTATACAGTAATGTATATCCCAGCTCCCCTGTACTCCATTATAGTGATATGACATGTATACAGTAAATGTATATCCCAGCTCCCCTGTACTATCCATTATAGTGATATGACATATATACAGTAATGTATATCCCAGCTCCCCTGTACTCCATTATAGTGATATGACATGTATACAGTACAGGGGCGGACTGAAAACTCATGGGGCCCCTGGGCAATAGGGGATCATGGGGCCCCTGTGTCCTTGCCCAAACTCAAAAAAGCGTATGAAAAAGGTACCAGGGGCATCTCATGGGGCCCCCTACTGACCCCGGGCCTCAGGCAGTGCCAGAGTTTCCAAATGGTCAATCCCTGATACAGTATGTATATTCCAGCTCCCCTGTACTCCATTATAGTGATAAATGACATTTATACAGTAATGTATATCCAGCTCCCCTGTACTCCATTATAGTGATATGACATGTATACAGTAATGTATATCCCAGCTCCCCTGTACTCCATTATAGTGATATGAAATGTATACAGTATGTATATCCCCGCTCTCCCCTGTACTCCATTATAGTGATATGACATGTATACAGTATGTATATCCCAGCTGCCCTGTACTCCATTATAGTGATATGACATGTATACAGTAATGTATATCCCAGCTCCCCTGTACTCCATTATAGTGATATGACATGTATACAGTAATGTATATTCCAGCTCCCCCTGTACTCCATTATAGTGATATGACATGTATACAGTATGTATATCCCAGCTCCCCTGTACTCCATTATAGTGATATGACATGTATACAGTAATGTATATCCCAGCTCCCCTGTACTCCATTATAGTGATATGACATGTACACAGTAATGTATATCCCAGCTCCCCTGTACTCCATTATAGTGATATGACATGTATACAGTACAGGGGTGGACTGACAACTCATGGGGCCCCTGGGCAATAGGGGATCATGGGGCCCCTGTGTCCTTGCCCAAACTCAAAAAAAGCCTATGAAAAAGGTACCAGGGGCATCTCATGGGGCCCCCTACTGACCCCGGGCCCTCAGGCAGTGCCCGAGTTTCCAAATGGTCAGTCCGCCCCTGCTAAAGTATGTATATTCCAGCTCCCCTGTACTCCATTATAGTGATATGACATGTATACAGTAATGTATATCCCAGCTGTACTCATTATAGTGATATGACATGTATACATTAATGTATATACAGGCTCCCTGTATACATTACTGTATACATGTCATCACTATAATGGACTACAGGGGAGCTGGGATATATACATTACTGTATATATGTCATATCACTATAATGGAGTACAGGGGAGCTGGGATATACATTACTCAGTAATGTATATCCCAGCTCCCCTGTACTCCATTATAGTAATATGACATGTTGTAAACAGTACTTACTCCTAGTCCCTCCGAGTCCCTCGCGGTGGTGGAGAGGGTGTCTCTCTCAGCGGAACCAAAGAAGTCGGAAACCGGAAGTTGTAAACCGGAACTCGGCTTCACAATGAGGCTTGTAGCGCAGGTGCAGTCGCTCCATGCTTCATCTGTGCTCGCGGCTCGCCACAGAGGAATTTCTCCTCGCATTTGGCGAGCGGGCGAACAGCTTTTTCAAGCCCTGGCTTATAGCATATTATAGCATATTTGCTAAAAGCAATCATAATGTGCAAAAAAAACCTGTCACCAGCCAGTGTCCCTGATCACTGCCACACCAGTTATTTGATGACGCTGAACTACACTAACGACAGTATGTTAAAAAAAGTTACTAAAAATGTTTTTTTCTTCATTTTTCACAAAATTAAATGACAACTTCAAAAAGTTCACCATGCCTCTTACTAAATACCTCAGGCTGTCTAATTTTTTTTAAAAAAAGGGGTAATTTGGAGGATATCTCTATCATCCTGACATTTTTGTTTCTCAAGAAATTACATAGACCATCAGAACAGCAGGATTGATCAATTTTCAGATGCAGTACTTTGTGGACTCTATAACTTTCCTACAGACTAAATAATATACACTGATTTTGGTTATTTTCACCAAAGAAATGTATCAGTTTACATTTTGTCGTAAATTTATGAAGAACAATTATTTATTTGCATAATTATATAACAGAAATGAAGAAAAACTGTTTTTTATTTCAAAATTTTTGGTCTTTTTTTGTATATATTACAAAAAATAAAAAACCCAGTGGGTTTTTTTTTTTTCGGTACATTGCTGCATGACCATGCAATTGTCATTAAAAGTGCGACAGTGCTGAAACCTAACAATTGGCCTAGGCAGGAAGGGGGTAAAATGCCCATTGTTGAAGTGGATAAACAAGTTTTATTTATAAAGAGGGATGTTGAAATCCAGCATGACCCCCAGTGCTCAGGTTTCTGCCTCCCTTCTTGTGTATGTCCTTTTCCCCATCCCCTCTCACACACTGAGCTATGCTGTCATTTTCCATTAATTCTATTGTAAGTTACAGTTTTTTAGCTTAGCTATACTTGATACTGTATATCATATGAGCCAACCAGCACAGACAGACAATGTAGACAGTGTAGCATATAGTAGATTAATTTGTAGATTCGACTGTTGCCAGTTCATACTGTCCATGGCTAGTCTACCGTGCCTTAGGTCCAAAAATGGTACATTTTTTTTTTTGGCACATAATTGGTTAACTTAACAGAATATTCAAACAATTTATGAACAATCTCAATTATTATTTATTACAGGCTCTTATATAGCACCATCAATTTACGCAATGCTTTTACATATATATTGTACATTTACATCAGTCCCTAACCCTCAAGGGGCGTACAATCTAAGGTCCCTAACTCACATTCATACATACACATACTATGGCCAATTTAGACAGGAATCAATTACCCTACCAGGATGTCTTCGGAGTGTGGGAGGAAACCGGAGTAGTCAGAGGAAACCCACACAGGCACAGGGAGAACATGCAAACACCAGGCAGGTGGTGCCATAGCTGGGATTCGAACCAACAACCCTAGTACTGCCAGGAGGAAGGGCTAACCATTTAGCCACTGTGAACTGCTTTAGTAAATAAGCCACATATATAAATATATATAACACAATGTAAAGTAGCCAGCACCTCAGCTTTTTTCCTAAATGGTTTACTTAAAAGATGTACTAATATAGTGCCAGCAATTTACTAGTCCTAAAGTTCCTCAGTTCCGTTCCTAAAGGAGCTAACAATCTAAGGTCCTTAATTCACATGCACATACTATGGCTAATTTAGACAGGAGCTAATCAACTAAACATCATGTCTCTAGGAGTGAGGGAGGAAATTCAAGCAATCACAGGGAGAACATGCAAAGTTCATGCAGTTAGTATCACGGTTGGGAATTCGATAGCGATGACCCCAGTGCTGAAAGCAGAAGCACTAACCACTAAGCTACTGTGCTGCTTATTTCTTAACTAAAAAGTTTACCACTTGACATTGTATAAATATAGATATCAGTGAATTAAGAGTTAAAACCTTTAATGGTGAAGTACTGGAAATTAGTTCTCAAATCAACTACCCAACTTGTGTTAGCTGCAGTTACTGTGAGCTAGTCATAACACAACTCATTTTGTGATTGCTTGTTTGCCATTGCCTTTCCTTTAGGATTCATTCTGTCTTTTATTCATTCTTTCTAGTCCTCTAACAACATCTTAAATATTTTAATGCTTTTAAGAATTGGGTACATCCCCCGGCATCCTGAAGACAACTGCAATTTGCAAGCATGAGACTGAATAATGGAATGTCTACACTGCCAGAGGGTGATGTATCTGGTTTTACTTAAGACCATCTCTTTTATAGAGGGAAACTCAAGGGATGAAAGAAGAATGATATTCAGCTGCATTTCTTTAGCTAAGTATTTTGCATCCACTCTTTTGTTCCAGATATCTGCTGCTCAATAGTTTATATGTATTTATAAAAATAATTCATTGTGACTTTTGATCTGCCATTTCAAGTAAAAATAATCACAGATCGTTACAGAAATTTAGGCTTCTTTAAAGACATTGATGGCATACAGGTATAAAAACATGCATTATGGTGTACAGCTTATTTAAAGCAATCAGAGAACTCGCATACTAAAATAACATTATGCTACATATATATGAATCTATCTTTCTATCTATCTATCTATCTATCTACTATCTATCTATCTATCTATCTATCTATCTTTTTTATTTGTCCATATTGCTTCTTTGTGCAGATTATAAAAGTGTTAGGTCTTACAGTCCACATTTGCACTACATACAGCCAAATTTGTATGATATAAACAAATACTAAGGTTCCTCAATCAGGGTCTGTGGAACCCTAAGGTTTCACAAGATGTCTCCCAGGGTTCTGCCACTATTCCCCATTGCTGCCGAGGTATATCCGCTCATTGGTGTTTTTAATGTGCTCTGAAAGCAAGTATAGAAGTATTATATTTTATTAGTAAACAGAAGAAATGCAGCGCTCTTAAAAATGATATTAGAAATATTAATAGACACAGTCCAGTAAAACAACAGTGTTCCTTGTTTCCCAGTGTAAATGGTAGAATTTTGCACTAACCAGAACGCGCATGGGTAATGCGCATATGTGTATATATCCTGAAGATCCTTTCTCCACTTAAGGCTGGTCAGGTATATGGCTTGGAAGAATGGAGATCCTACGCCCTCATGTGGTGGGAAATGATCCAGCAGGTCAGAGCAATGACGATCCAGATGAGCCTCCACAAGGAACTGGCACAGGAATCCCAAGGGCTACAAGGATGGAAAAGCTCCTCACAGGAGACACAGGGGAGCACTCATAGTGTAGTAATTAAAACTTTATTTGAAAGCAGCATAAGTGCAGAATACAGGAGAAAGCCAAGTATGGGCAAACACACTGACCCTATTGGATGTCAAAATGGCCGCCGGGCCTCCTCGTGGCACCAGCGGCTTGATGTCAACGGCGTCCTAGGGTCCCACCTGACGCGTTTCGTGCGCACGCACTTCCTCAGAGGTGGAACATAGGCTATGTTCCACCTCTGAGGAAGTGCGTGCGCACGAAACGCGTCAGGTGGGACCCTAGGACGCCGTTGACATCAAGCCGCCGGTGCCACGAGGAGGCCCGGCGGCCATTTTGACATCCAATAGGGTCAGTGTGTTTGCCCATACTTGGCTTTCTCCTGTATTCTGCACTTATGCTGCTTTCAAATAAAGTTTTAATTACTACACTATGAGTGCTCCCCTGTGTCTCCTGTGAGGAGCTTTTCCATCCTTGTAGCCCTTGGGATTCCTGTGCCA